TCACCTTGAGGCAGGCTCCAGCGGCAGGGGAGAAACCTTCTGCAGCCTGAGACTGCTTAAGAAACTCTTTTGAATGAATGTAAATTAACCTTTTGATTAATGGAGCTTTATTTTAATAAGGCTTTTCCGTTTTCCTTTTGAACAGCACTGGCAGGCAGCCCCTAGGGCAGTTTCGCATCCGCCACGGTCTGCACCTTTCACAGGCTCATTGCCTGTTGTGGCACAAACAATTTCCCCTCGGATGCAAAGATTCTTCTGGCTGAAACCTTTCTCTTATCATTACTGCTGCTGTGATCAAGGCCCACAAGAAGAGCATAAAGTGTTTCTGGAGACGCGTTACCGATGCAGAACTTACACGTAGCTCTGCCAATAAATAAAGAGGCTAGCTGCTGGGTATCTGTGAAATACAACAGTCTGCACTGCAGCAAGGACAACCACCCTTACCTTTTGCCCTGCATTTTCTCAGCTCTCGGTCCTGGATGAAACCAGCAAACATTTGGGATTCCATGAAAACTTCCAAGAAGCGGCGGATACTCTTGGAGGCCACAGATTTGCGGAAAGCCTCCCTTTGGAAGGCACGCTCTCCTTTTTCATTCTGGGTTAGGAACAGGGAATAATGGCCAACTGTCTCCACAAAGAATCGGATAAAAACCTCAGACACTAATCCATTCAGGGTGTTACATTCTGCAAAATAAGGCAGCAATAAGACACCAAAATCAGCTGCTACAAAAGCTCTCGGCATTGTCATAAACCCTGGGCCAGATATGGTCATCTAGCAGTTTACTGATGCTATGCTAATAACCCAAAGCAGTTGTACTAATTCCTTGAAGCCTTAGATATTAGTCAGATAGGGAAAACCATAACAGCCTTACAATCAAGAGTGCCAACCTACATAATTGGTGCTTCATAACCAAGAATCAACAGGAACTACAGATTCTCAGGAGATAGCTCAGGAAATTAAAGGCTGCCAGTGCCTCATCAAAATTGTACTTCTGCTTTTAAGTTTAAATCAGTGTTTTCTTGAGAAACTTCCAACAGCTCCGACAGTTAAAATGTTTGCTCTGGGGATAATAAACCTTTACCAAGAACTGATCAAAAAGGCTATGTTGTAGAATTTCCTTTTTTATCACTTTTGAGATGTTCAAATAGTTTTACATATGTATAGCAAAGATGAGTAGAACTAAATTTCAAAAACGGAATAGAGGCCCTTTTCATACCTCTTAACCACAGGCATTCAAATTCACCTTAGGTTTTTTTTTTTTATAACTGCTGTAGAGAAATATGAACCTGCAGAGGCAATTCAGCCATTCTAGTACACGAAGTGCTTTTCTGCAGGTCTCTGCTTCTCTCTGAACTCTGACACACCCCTAAGCACCTATACTTATCTGGATTGAACTAAGACCAAGTTGACTACAAACCTCTGTCTGAGTAAAGGTTTGGAAGTCCTCATGGGAGCATGGGAGCATGTCATTTACAAAGAAATGTGAATAGGTTGCTGATAATGTAGTACTGTTTGTTGATGCCATCAGCCCCACTCCCTGTGTTCCAAGATCAACTTTGAAGTTGCAAAAGGTATTTGAGTACTGAAGGCCCGTCTTTCTCCAGGATGGAAAGTCACAATACTACTACATGCCTATTTATACAAATCCTGTTTCCAAATGAACTTACCATCATCCGAATCACTATCTGAGTCCTGATTTATCAGTTCATTCTTTCTCTCCAAAGCCTGCTCCAGAGCCGCCTGCAGTTTTCTAGGTAATAGTGTGTCTTCATCATCCATCTGACAGAAAAAAAAATTCTTTAGATCAGTCATCCGTGCCATAACTACAGCAAATACTTTTTCAAGGTTTCGGATTCTGAAGCAAAGCATTTTGCATCTGCTATTGTCATGCCTACATAAACGAAATAATGAAAACCTACGTGCATCTATCATATATTTCCAAATAAAAGTTCATGTCACTTTTTAATGACATTAAAGACAGGAAAGATGATCCCATAGAGCAAGTTAAATATATATAAGCCTGGAATCAGCTCTTTACGTGACAAGTGTAATGCAGAATAACCTGACAGGCACAGTAGAGTCCAAATAGTTGTTTTTACTAAATATACGTCATGCAAAGCCTAGCTACATGTATACACAGCTGTTCCAGTTGGTGTGGGGCAACTTCTTTAGTTCTTAGTAGTTTCTTTTACTTATATTCTGGTATATCTTGTTTTCTGTTTTTCCTCTCCTGCTCTCTTCATCTTATTTAAAGCTTGTTCAGGAAAAGCGAGCAAACACAAGAATGCTAAAGGTGCAACTGCTATTCACCAGTCATATCTTCCAAGGAATCCTAGAAAAAAAATTAACTCCTTGCCTAACCTGCAGACAGAACACTTCTGAAGTCATCTAGTGCCACGTTACTTTCAGGAGATGGTGATCCTTTCTCTCCCCGTTCACAGGGCTCCTACTTCTCCTACCATACTAAACTATTCTTCACCTTTCCTCTTTCACTCTGGAGGCTTTTCCTTTTTGCAATTTCTGTCTTTTTCACCTCCAGTAATGCTAGTTTTCCTGCTAACATGATGTTATGTTTGGATGTCGTCTTTGCACTGTGAATACAGTTTTTCATTTCTTCTGACAGTAACAACCTCAGTCCTTTTGGCACACCTGAGGAGCAGTACTTATTTGCAGGTGAAACAGAAAACATGAGTACATCTTTTCTTAATCTCTCATCCACTGCACAGTTCCTGCCAAATGCCTCTGATTAAAGAAACTTAATAATACTACAGCACTGAACAGCTTGCTAAACTGGGTGGCAACATTTCAAGCTGTACTCTACCTGTCTGATGAATCGATCAGATCCCAGGTTAACCATCAAAGCCTAAAGAAAAGAGAACAGTAAAGTGAAATATATCTTAAGAGTCAGGCAACGTTCGTTGTGTGCGCCTTTACAAAGAAAAGGACTATCTGAATGGTCCCAAGTCTCAACATGAATCAAATACCTACTGTAAAAAAAAACAGGTTGCGTGCGTTTTAAAACAGGAAAATGAAGTTCCTTCTTCAGAGCTTACAGTCTAATTTAATATAATTCAGGTACAATGGACTTCATATAAAGACTATTATGCATAAAACCTTAAAAGGCTAGGCAGGACATTTTTTTTGCCTAAGCAAGTTGTCACTAATAATTTTTGCTAGTGTCCAAAAGAAAAGTATTTCAGAGGAGCAAAAAGACTTTAAGGACTTCTGAAGGGTTAAAGTGTGAAATGTTAATGATAATGAAGCAGCAAAGCTGAGAGAAGAAGCTGGGAAGATGTAGGAAGACAATGTTAGGAGAGTGGGAGGAGAACAGCAGAGATTTACAAGGGCTAAAGGTGCAGAGAGCCTTGAAAGTGAGCACAAGAAAAGAAAATTTAAGGGGAAAAATGACAGGAAAACAGAAGGAATAAGGAGAGCGTGCCTGTGAGGATTTTGGTGGTATTTTTCCAGAAGAACTGAAGACATATGAGTCTCATTTAATTTCCAATATACTGTTAGCAAGACCTTAAAAGTCAAAAATAGGCCTTAAAGGCTTTATTTTCTCTCCTGCCTAAGGCTGCAGGTACAACTTCCGTTGGCATTAACAGGTGTCGTAGCAGTTTGCGTTTCATGTCTTCCTGCTGTCACTTCACTACGTTGTTCTGGGTTCGAGAAAATCAGAACAAATCAGAATATTTATGCTGTCCTTACTTGTCAACAAGGTTAACGTTCACTTCTCTCTGTCAAGGTGCCAGACATATGAAAGAAGTTGGAATAGAGAGATAAAGAAACCCCTTAATATCTGTCCACTCTTTTGCAATGTTACCAAGTGGTAGTTGTATATGAGAATTAGGCAGAGAAGAAGCAAAGAGGCAAATTAAAAGTTAAACATATGAGGACTATGTGAGAATGCCAGACCCTCTGCAGGGTGAGACCAGCTTTACTCCAGGCAAGCAACTCTGGTGCCAGCTCCTACCTCCTCTACAGGCAGCTCCTTCAGCTTGGGCAGAGAGCTGGAGAGCAGTCCCACCAGGAAGGGGGTAGGGCAGCACACAATGTCTATCATGGACGAGGGCAGGACAGGAATGAAGGTGTGCTGCCAGGAGAAGGGGTACAGCAGAGCCACCACGGCGTGCGAACAGCTGGAGAGGGTGCTGAAGAGAGAGGAACAGCCACGTTAAGAACATAGCTGCGTCTTAATCCAAAACACCTACCATCTGCTGATAAATGTATCGTACTAAAATGCTAAACTGCCCCATGGGGCTGCCCCCGTTTCCCAGGATGCCTTTCAACGTGCCAGTTCTGGCTTAGGACGTGCTGGGTCCTGTTCCAGGGCATACCCCTGTCTGTACTGTGCTGCATGGTGACCCCTCCTCTGTCTTTTAGGTGACTTGAAACTGAAACTAAAAGAGTACAGTTAATTGGTTTCATTACAGCAGTCAGGAAACACTCTGATCTACAAAATAAGGCTTAATGTTCCCAACAGCCCTAAATAGCAGCCACTTTTAATGATGAGTAAAATAAAAAAACAGCTTCAGTTCTTAGCTGTTACGACCATGCCAATAGTAACAATGAATAATACTGACGTTCTTATGTCAAGCGCTAGTGCACAAATAAGAGAAAATGAAAAAAATCAAAATTGAAACAAAATATCCTACAGAAAAATTCTACCACTTTTTTTTCAAAACTTGTGCCAAAGGAAATCTAGTAAAAGCAACACACTTTTCAACGTATGTATATTTTTGTGAAAACAGTGTATTTTTATTGCAATACATTTTGAGGAGGTTTATTGACCAACACTAGGTACAATAGTATTAACCCTGCTCATTAAAGTGCTCTGAAATAAACATATCAGTATTCCCTAAATAGCAAAGCTTTGTATTGTGTGTGGAAAATGTCTCAATTTCATTGTCTTTCCACCCACTGAAACTTTGACAGTCAGGTGGTTTCCAAAAGTTAGAAATGAAGGAACATCCTTATCAAGCTGGTTTTAGCAGCAGGGGAAGAAAGATAGGCTCTTCTTTTCAAAGCGTTGATTTTGGCCTGAGTTAAAATGTCTGCTTTCTGCAAGCCGAAGCTGACAGAATTCTGGAATTTTACCCAGCTGAACATGAGCTGATTTTCTCACAGTGCAAACTTCTGCTGTGCTTAACGTAGCCACAAAGAACTATAAATAACTAGTAACTTCAGAGCTATTACCGCTTCAGAATACTGGGGGGGGGGAATTGCTGAGCTCTCTTACTGCAAGACTTCTCAGGAACTTTAGGTGGCATCAGACCTCCACTGGAGTAACTCTCACAAGGCTTTTTAGTTGTGGGCTATTCCAAGAACAGGAGAAACGTCTCACCTGCCTGTTTGCTTTAATGATTACCCTTTGGAGTTTACTGAATGGTCAAGCCAAGAATTAGAGGAACAAGAGAAAAAAGGTGGGGGAAGGGTGCATGTTTGTCTTTTACTGTAAATAATTTGGAGGGTTTTTACTTGACACTTACTTAATATCTATCAGTCACAGAATGTTTTTGTAATATATGCAGCGTGACACAAGTTTCTTATAAAAGGATGTGTTTTTCTAATTTTTTTACAGCATGTGATGGTGCTGGCATTGACTCCTATTTTGGTCTCTACAGCATATGCAACAGCAAGCATAATGTCGTGTTTCTGAAGAACTGCAGAGCAGCATGACAGAGCCTCTCAGCACAATTCTCAAGCTCACTGTAATGACTCTGCAGTATTTTCAACTCTTACAAATTCAGTCATCATAGAAAAGTGACTAAAAAAAGAATCACGTTATGCTAAAAGCAGGAAGACAAACATTCGAATATTTAGTTAATATTTTTTTCCTTTCTATAGAATGCCCTTTTGTAACTTGTTCTTCTACATGCAGCACTGTGACGTAAATCAGCCCCTACATCCTCTCGTGTGCGCTATTCCCACGCTAGGGGAGGCTTCGGGCTCCTGCCCAGGACACTGGTTTCTCGCCGGAGCCAGCTGGGAGAGGGCGGCAGCTGCGTGCAGCTAGCGGTCATGGGGGGGTCGTCCTGCAGGCGCCCCTGCTCTGCCAGCCTCGTCTCGTGCAGGTCACGCTCTTGCCCTTGAGAGCAGCTCGGTCTGTCCACTTTAAGGCTCTGCACACGAGTTTTTCAAAATTCAGCTTCGGCAAATCTGGGACAGCCTGGGAGAAGTCCCAGGCTGCCCAGCCATGAAACACTCGCTTTTAACTTCAACGTCCCCAAAGTTTCCTTCCAGCCCCAGAACCCGTCGGCGCCTTCCTTCACACTCGCTGCTCGCGGAGAAGTCAGTGGCAGTCACGCACCCTCACCTGACACCTGAACGACACTCTCTTACTTGTACAAAAGTGCCTCTGCCTCTACAGTAGCCAGAAAGAATCATAATTAAAGGATACATTTCTTTGACTCCTACGTGAGGTCTTTACAGTATGTAAGGTCAAATTCAGATGGTTGATGGTTGTGAGGGGACCTCTAGCTTAAATCTCTAAAATATTGTTCAAATCCTTTTAAAAGGATATTACTCACGAGAAATGTGTTTGGTAAATTAACAGAGAAAGCCCGACCACTTCTCCTTTCGAGATTTGCATCCCACACACTGTCCCACTGCTCTTGTTCCTGGGAAATGCAAAGGAAAATCGGACAGTTTCTTTTACGGTGGGTGAAGCACGGAGAGTCAGCCAACGGAATACTCACGCCGACTAGATTTTTACAGTATTGTCACTTGTAATAGTCCGAGGCAGTTCTGATAACGCAGGGGGAAGGGTTTTTTCATTCGGTTTATGCATTTTTACAGGAACATCGCAGAATGTTCTAGTTGTCATTTCACTGGAAAACGCTTCTTATATTACCTATTTACAGGTAATTGTATACATGGGCACGAGGAATGAAACTGCGGCATGAGTCACGTACCGACAAGGAGCAGAAAACATCACATATTTCAGAGAGGACGAGCC